CTTGCGTGATGCTCACGTACGGGCCCGCCAAAGTTTTTGACGAGCAAGCTGCTAACTGGGGAACCTGAAAAGCTAGAAGACTGAAATTTTAAGGGGATGTTCCCCGTCCAAGTAGGTATTAACGAACTCAAACCCAGCTCCCCGAGTACGCCCCCACGTGCGTACCCGTGAAAGTTTTTTGCGGGTAAGTTGCTAACTCGGGAAACTGAAAAGTTAGAAGGCTGTAATTTTAAGGGGATGTTCCACGTCCCCAGAGGTCCTAATGAGTTCAAAACTAGCTTCAGGGTTTGTGTGATTCATATGTGCGAGCTCGTGAAAATTTTTCGCGGGTAATTTACTAAATCGGGAACCAGGAAAGCTAAAAAGCTGAAATTTTAGAGGGATGCTCCTTGACAGTTCTAGCGGCCAGTCTCAATTCTTTTAGCTAGAAGCATCTGTCGGAAAAATCGGTGCCGTTGGCGACAAAAATCTGTGGGGAACTATGCAGAAAACGCATCTTCGCACCAGCAGTCGATGCGCTGACCATTTTTTTTTTTATATCGACATATGCAATTAATCTCAGTTCTGTTAGCTCCCTGTTTCTTCCTCTACTGTATTCGTTATCGTTCTGTTTGTTTAGAATGTAAACAAGCCCAGTGCGATGCGAATGAGTGCAACCCGAACATGATGGTACGCAAGACACTGGCTGCAGCTGACAGGACCGAAAAATTCGCTCCCACTCTGGATGAAGCCAGTTTGGGGATGGGCGGTCCATCGAAAATATCTGAGGTTTTAACTGTTTTTATTGCTATTTACTGTAAATCGGTAGCCCAGAGAAGTTGTGATAGTGCGAGGTTGACTGTGGCTATTGGGCCAATATCGAGTCTCGGCGGGGAGACCTCGGGGTTTTCAAGCATATTAGTGTGGAGATACCGCGCAGCATTTGTTTCGGCTAGGCTTGATCGACACGGGCCGTTGTCAACCTACCAGAGGACAGCAAGCCAGTGATGATCATGTAGCTCCTTGCAACGCAATTTCAAAAACATCATGAGAAAGGCCTAGTTCAGATCGGCAGCCGAAGGAATTGGAATTGCTAAGAATCTCGAAAAAACTGTTAATTCTGTCTGTTTTTGTAGAGATTCGTAGGAGTTGCCGGAAGGAAAGTAAGCGGATGCAGCCCATCAGATCCGGCAAATCCCACTATTGGCATATGGATCGAGCCACCGGAAATGCGATTTCTATTTCCAAAGACATTCGCAGCCGAGGTATCCTTTTCCATTTCGAGCTCGCAATAGAATATTTTATCCTTTTCCCTCATCACTAATTTGTAAAAAATGGGCGCTCGCTCCCCTTCTCTACCCTGTCCCAAATCCTGCTAGCAAACAAGATATAGACCCCTATCTGTTCCCACTATAACATCACTGTTCAAGCAAACAGTATTTACCTTTCCCTACACCAGGGATCTACGGCAAAACCAGGAGCACACTTCCTCATCCCTTCCCTTCTTCACCGCTCCCTTCTCCCGTCCAAATGTACGTCACTTAGTCAGTCGGTAAGGAATCTAAGCCATTTAGTCCTTAAATCTACCTATCCTATCCCCCTTCCCCTGCCTCGAAGGAAACCCGCCACCACCCCCACTTCCACCTGCCACATTCAAACTGCCGCCATCCGCCGTGAGAGAGCCATACCTGCCGTTGGGAGAAAAAATTTTTTGCAGCTCGTGCATGAGACGAGCCTGGTCCGGCCGAGTTTTTGTAATTGCCCATGATTACCTAGGCTGGAGCGCACCAGGCAGGGCCGGTACGATTATGCGTTTTTGCACTTTTCGTTCCGTAGCAAGATTGCAAGTAATAACAGTAGCTAGTCCTGCGGCATACTGCCCTCGAAATTCGGGAAGTTAATTGTGCAGCTATTTGGCATGTCAGTTATAATGTCGACTTCAGTGACCGGACAAATGGAAAGTTGCTGATCCACGAAAAAGGCCATACTAGGAGAGTTAAATTTGAAATCTTTTAGTCGCACATAAGTAGGGAACATTCTCTTAAGATTAAAGCCTTCAGCTTTTTCCGTTCCCGAGTTAGCAGTTTTCCCATCAAAATTTTCACGTGTCCGTACGTAAGTGCTAGACGGTTTTAAAGGGCTAAATTTGAAATCTTTTAGCTGTGCATCAGTAGGGAACATTCCAGTAAAATTTCAGCTTCCTGGCTTTTTTCGTTTCCGGGCTAGTGATTTTCACGCTAAGGTTTTCACGTGCTCGTGCGAAAGCCCGGGCACTTCCAAACACCTAATTTTGTTCGTACGTGAGTAGAAAACATTGCCCTAAAGATCCAGCTTTCTAGCTTTTCTTGTCCCCGGTTTAGTAATTCCTGCGCCAAAACCTTCAGATGTGGCGTACGTGGGTCTCGCGCGCATCTAAACAGCCAATTTTGATTGTACATAAGTAGGGGACATTCCCGTAAAATTTCAGTTTTCTGGCTTTTTTCGTTCCCGGATTAATGATTTTCGCTTCAAAACTTCGACGTGCCGCACATGGATACCGGATTCTTCTAAACACGTGATTTTGGTTGTACAGGAGTAGGAGACATTCCCGGAAAGTTTCAGCTTTCTAGCTTTCCCAGTTCCCGGGCTAGTAATTTTCGCGCCAAATTTCCACGCGCTCGCACGTGAACCCCGGGCTGTCCTAAGGAGCGGAGTTTGAAAACTTTTAGTCGTGCGTGAGTAGGGGGCATTCCTCTGAACTTCCAACTTTCTAGCTTTTCTGATTTCCGGATTATGAATTTTCCCGCCATAATTTTCACATGCCTGTACGTAGCAGCTGAATTTGAAACTTTTTTGTCATATTTGAGTAGGGGACATTCCCCTGTGGTTTTAGCTTTCTGGCTTTTTTCGTTCCTGAATTAGCAGTTTTCTCGCCAAAAGTTTGACGTGCTCGTACGCGGAGCCCAGACGTGTGTGAGAGTTGATCCCGCGGTCCTGGTGTGGCACCTGGCTGGGGAACATACTGGCAAGATTTCAGCTTCAAAGCTTGCTTCGTCGACGAGTTGAAATTCCCGGACAGACGAACACAAACACACTGACAGAGTGGTTGGAATATACAGTGTTGCAGCGCTCTAGCGCTGCACGGCAGAAACACAAAAAAAACGCTACGGGGGAAGAGTTACTTCGAGGGTTTGGGGATGGAGAATCGGATCATTGTCGGACGAGGACGTTGCTTTCCGACGTTCGACTGGAATGTCATCGAAAGATGACTCAACATTTTGTTTTGTTTTTATGCGTTTTTTGCAGCAATGCAATGGAAAAACGCATATTGAGAGGTTATCTGTGTGTGTTTGTGTGTGTGTGTCTGTGTGTGTGCCTGTGTGTCTGTGTGTGCGCTGGGCCTCTGTACCGATTTTTCATCTCAGACCGGCAAAAGCTACGGGGCTGAAACTTTGGGGACTTAATCTACATGCACGTACGGCCCCTGTCCTCAAAATGGGCGGTCTTTCCCGCGTGGTACCCACCTAAGGCCCCGCCAAAGTTTTTTACGGGTAAGCTGGTAACTCGCGAACCAGAAAAGCTAGGGAGCTGAAATTTTTATGGGAATGTTCCCCGTCCAAGTAGGTACTGATGAGCTCAAATCCAGCCCCCGGGTAGGCGTGGTACCTGCGTACGAGCCCCCCAAAATTTTTCCCGCGTAAATTCATAACTCGGGGTTCTGAG